CTACTTTACACACAGATCAGCCTGACACCTCAGGACTGGAACTTGACGTAGTCTCAGGTGCCGGTAATGAATGCGAATGCTGGCAGGGGGCACTCTGCTCTACCAGTCCTCATCTTCTTTGATATTTGCATGACAGACCTGCAATATTCCAGTAGAAAGACTGAAAAAGAGTTGATTTTTAACATCTATGACTCTCTCTCTCTCTCTCACTCTCTCTCTCTCTCTCCTCCCTTTTTTCTTTTTCAACTATGAAGGGAGGTTCATCTTTTCCACTGACCTGCATAGAGCTTGATAACTTGTTTAGATTTTTGAAATTGTATTGTTATTGACTATTTTTTCTTTCTTTTGAAAAATTAGTAATGTTAATGGTGCTGCTCTCACACTTCCCCAGATGAGGTAGAAGCATTGCTCAATATCAGTAGCAGTGGGTTTTATAAGTAGCTTGTAGTAGTACAGGGGTGTAGCCTAGTTGAATTGCAACAGAAGTAGAATTATGAATTAGTTGACATTTATGAAATTTTTATTATTTTTCCCACATTGTTTTTGTCCCTGTTTTTCTTTATATATGTATTTATATATATATGTGTGTGTGTGAGTGAGTGAGTGAATGAGTGTGTGTGTGTGTATATGTGTTTGAGTGCATGCATGCATGTGTATGAGAGTGAGTGAGTGTGAGTGTGTGTGTGTGTGTGTGTGTTGTGTGTGTGTGTGTGTGTGTGTGTGTGTGTGTGTGTGTGTGTGTGTGTGTGTGTTTGTGTTTGTGAGTGAGAGTGAGTGTGCATGTGAGTGTGAGTATGCATGTAAGAGAGAGAGTGTGAGTGAGTGAGTGAGTGAGTGTGTTGAGAGTGTGTGTTGTGAGAGTGTGTGTGAGTGTGCAGTGTGTGAGTGTGTGTGTGGTGTGTGTGTGTGTGTGTGTGTGTGTGTGTGTGTGTGTGTGTGTGTGTGTGTGTGTGTGTGTGTGTGTGTGTGAACCTCATTTTAGAATTGGTTGTTAAATTTTTTTTCATTTTTACACTTTTTTTTAACACAGAAAGGTTAGTCTGTTAGGTTATTTAAATGGACTTTTGTCTTCAGTGATTCTCTTTATGTGATGTTGCATGTTTTAGTGTTTTCATATTCCCGCAGTACCATTAGATCACTTAACTGTTACTAAGATGTAGAGTTTGGATAAAATTTGGGTCTGGCGATATTGATCTCAGGAAGCCACTATAGTTGGTTAGAGGATAGCCACTTTTGTTTATGGTTTCATCACACAATCACGCACACTTGTACACACACACACACACACACACACACACACACACACACACACACACACACACACACACACACACACACACACACACACACACACACACACACACACACACACACACACACACATACACACACACACACACATGCACACACATGCACACACATGCACACACATGCACACACACTCAAGCACCACTCACTCACTCACCCATACATACACAAATACACACACACATACACACACTAACATACACACACACACACACACACACACACACACACACACACACACACACACACACACACACACACACACACACACACACACACACACACACATAATTATGTATGTATTTGCATACCCTTTTCTTTCTTTTCATTTTATCATTTTTTGTGTTTCCTATTTGGATATCACTACTAAATCAACCAAAGTATGGGATTCTTTACATGCACATATACATAAAAAATTACATTATTGTCAAAGGTTATGCTTTCAAACTCAATGTTCCTATCATTTCATGACTTATGTCATCTAAATGTATCTTTAGAAGAACAGTTTTGAGTCTTGAGTGAAAAAGGTACAAGACTGATGTACTTGCTGAGCTTCTTGTCCTTGTTCTCAGTTTCTTTTTATGGCAGTTTTTAAATGGGGTATCCAGATTCCTTTACACAACTCAGCTGTACATATGATCACATAAGTCCCTCCCAATATGACATCATCTCCATACATCTTCCACTGTCTGTCTGCTATCTTGTTGACCCCCCCCCCCCAATTGTGTGTGTGCCCTGACTGCTGGATGCATCCTACCTCAACCCTTGGCTTGACTTCCCTGCCTGTTTGTCCTGGCCTCACCTAGAACCCAGGGAAAGCACTGAACAGCTTTGGAGCCCTCCTCCACCGTGTGCCCCAGTCTGCCCGTGCACTTTATGGCCGGGCCTGCAGCCTAGACCGCCTGGCTGAAGTGGAGCGCTCCAACTCACGTCTGGAACAGGCTATAGCCACGTACCGCAGTGTTATTGACATGGCTGATGAACACCCAGACCAGGTGCCCTTGCCACTTCTGCGACTGGCGGCAGAAAAATGCATTGAGAGAATGAGGTTCAGAGGTTTGTTGGAAACTGTTGTTGTTGACCCCCTTCTCATTTTCAGTGTCACCCTATTATTGATATTAATACGATTTTTATGAACATAGTAACAGTTTATCTCTATGGTACTAACAAAATTTGACCTGGGACTAAATATGGCTGCAGGGTTCATGGGCAAAGCTGTCAGGGTTCAGCAGAGATTGCTCCAGAGGTTCCCAGATGACATCAGTCTCAGGAACCAGATGGGCGTGACTTTCCTTCTGATGAACCAGCCTGCTGCTGCTAAGGACGTATTCAAGGAGGTCCTAGAAAAGTGGCCAGAAGATGGATTTGCACAGGTGAGAGAGAGTATGCAGGGAGAATTTTTTTTTTATCTTTTTATTTTTTCATTTGTCATCACTAGACTCATGTGTAGAAAATGATGAGGAGTAGTCTTTTTTATAACTTCATAAAAGGTTGGAAGGACCACAATATTCAGTAGCCAGAGAGAAGCTGCCTTTTGATATATAGATTTATTCCTTTAGGGTATCTAATATTTTTCTTTTATTTGTTCATGTTCTTTCCTATGATTATGACAAAATTATTCCAAATGGTCTGAATAGACACATGACAGTAGCTCATATTGTTTATGTCAGAAAGGAAAAAGGTTTCATAAGATGTGAGTAATCGGTGTCTCTTCCAGCATCCATCTCTCTCTCTCTCTCTCTTCTCTCTCTCTCTCTCTCCTCTCTCTCCTCTCTCTCTCTCTCTCTCTCTCTCTCTCTCTCTCTCTCTCTCTCTCTCTCTCTCTCTCTCTCTCCTCTTCTCTTTCTCTTCTCTTTCTCTACTCACTCACTCACTCACTCCACTCACTCACTCACGCACTCACTCACTCACTCACTCACTCACTCACTCACTCACTCACTCACTCACTCACTCACTCCACTCACTCACTCACTCTCTCTCTCTCTCTTCTCTCTCTCTCTCTCTCTCTCTCTCTCTCTCTCTCTCTCTCTCTCTCTCTCTCTCTCTCTCTCTCTCTTTTACTCACTCACTCACTCACTCCCACTCTCTCTCTCTCTCTCTTCTCCTCTCTCTCTCTCTCTCTCTCTCTCTCTCTCTCTCTCTCTCTCTCTCTCTCTCTCTCTCACTCACTCACTCACTCACTCACTCACTCACTCACTCACTCACTCACTCACTCACTCTCACTCACTCTCACTCTCACTCTCACTCTCTCTCTCTCCCTCCTCCCTCCTCCCTCCCTCCCTCCCTCCCTCCTCCTCTCTCTCTCTCTCTCTCTCTCTCTCTCTCTCTCTCTCTCTCTCTCTCTCTCTCTCTCTCTCTCTCTCTCTTTCTCTTTCTCTTTCTCTCTTCTCTCTCTCTCTCTCTTCTCTCTCTCTCTCTCTCTCTCTCTCTCTCTCTCTCTCTCTCTCTCTCTCTCTCTCTCTCTCTCTCTCTCTCTCTCTCTCTCTCTCTCTCTCTCTCTCTCTCTCTCTCTCTCTCTCTCACTCTCTCTCTCTTACTCACTCTCTCTCTCTTACTCACTTACTCTCACTCTCACTCTCTCCTCTCTCTCTCTCTCTCTCTTCTCTCTCTCTCTCTCTCTCTCTCTCTCTCTCTCTCTCTCTCTCTCTCTCTCTCTCTCTCTCTCTCTCTCTCTCTCTCTCTCTCTCTCTCTCTCTCTCTCTCTCTCTCTCTCTCTCTCTCTCTCTCTCTCTCTCTCTCTCTCTCTCTCTCTCTCTCTCTCTCTCTCTCTCTCTCTCTCTCTCTCTCTCTTTCACTCACACTCTCTCATTCTCTCTCTCTCTTTTTCTCTTTCACTCTTTCTCTCTTTCTCTCTTTCTCTCTCCTCTCCGCCTTCCCTGCTTCCCAGGGATATTTGATACGCTTGTAAGGTTATTTGCATATTTATACCTATATGTACTTCTCTATTGCCCAGGTACATTATGGTTTTGTCTTGAAAACAACGTACAACAACAACACAGGCGGAATCGAGTACATGCAGAAGGGCATCAGCAGTGGTGCAGAGGGCACACAGGATGGCCGTTTCTACTTCCACCTCGGGGATGCTCTGCAGAGGGAAGGGAAGACAGAAGAAGCATATAAGGTACAAATATTTTATTTGATTTGGTTATTGTGTTTTGATTTATTTTTGAAGTACATCCTTCTTTCCTTTTTTTTTCTTTCCCCTCCCCTCCCCCAATGTTATCCTTTATTGTTTTTGCAAACTCTCATTTACTCTACCTTTTTCTCTTGGTGTTCATAGATATTTTATTGAGGCTATACTGGTTTTATCAATATCCATGCATGTGGGTGGTGTATCTGTTTGAGAATTCATTTTGCATTCTCTCTCTCTCTCTCTCTCTCTCTCTCTCTCTCTCTCTCTCTCTCTCTCTCTCTCTCTCTCTCTCTCTCTCTCTCTCTCTCTCTCTCTCTCTCTCTCTCTCTCTCTCTCTCTCTCTCTCTCTCTCTCTCTCTCTCTCTCTCCCTCTCTCCCCCTCCTCCCCTCCCTCCTCCCTCTCCCTCCCTCCCTCCCCTCCCTCCCTCCCTCTTCCCCCCTTTTCTTCAAGCTATATAATTTCTTTATTCTCCCTTTCAGCACATAGCATCGTTTATATTATATCAGATGCTTTCTTTCCTTGATTTATCCCTACTCTCTTTTTCCCTCAGTTATATGACATTGGTGTTGAAAAGGGCTTGTTCCTCAGCCGGTATCAGCGTTCATTATACAATGTTGATAGGCTGCGTTCACAGCCTCTTTGGTCACAGGAAGAGACTTCATATCAAGAGTTCTTCAGGTAAGTAGGGTATGCATAGAGGTGCTTGTGACTTTAACTGCTGTATTCTATTATTAAAATGCCATTCCCTATTTTTGAATAGTTATTTCATTAGATATTCATCAAGGAGTGTTGTTTGTCTTTCAAGCCCTTTTACATGCATGTCTTTTTTAAAGGAACCCCAAACACACTAAAACTAAATTTGTGTCTGCCTTTCAGAAAACTGGAGCAGAACTGGCTAATAATTCGAAAGGAAGGTCTAGAAGCACTTGCTTTGCCACCCCAGGATGGATTCCGCCCAGAGGCAGAGAACCTCCAGGATACTGGTGACTGGAAGCAATATGAAATTTTCTCTCGAGGAAGGAAGATAACTGCAAACTGTGTGAAGACCCCGCAGACATGTGCTCTTGTTGAGAGTTTTAAACCAGCAGCTGGATGCAAGCGTGGACAGGTAAATCGAAATATGTTTGAGGTTTGGTCACATACAGGTTATTATTTCCCTTAAATTGTTAATGGTGCTTTTTTTTTCTGTATTGCATTTATTTTGAGATTGCATTAGGCAGATAAACTGTGGTTTATATATGATTTAAGCATTTATTATTGTCTGTCACATGTCACTAGCATTTCTTTTTGATTATGTAAATTTACTAAGTTCAGTATTCTTTTTTTCTGCTTCAGGTGAAGTTTAGTGTCATGTATCCTGGCACACATGTTCATGCTCACACTGGTCCTACCAATTGCCGCTTACGAGCCCATCTTGGCCTGCTGGTACCTGAGGGGTTACACTTGCGTGTGGGTGAAACCAACCAAAGCTGGGCTGAAGGGAGAGTCATTGTGTTTGATGATAGCTGGGAACATGAGGTCTGGCATGAAGGTGATTCCCCACGGCTGATCCTCATAGTGGACGTGTGGCACCCAGAGCTTACGGAAGAGGAAAGGTTATCCTTGTCACCGATATAATTTTGAATCAAACACTTGTATTCCTTTGGTGGCCAGTAGTGGTTCCTTCTTTAAGAGTCTTAAACAAGGTACTTATTTAAGCAAATGGTGGAACAAGCAGGAGCAGAGAACAAAGATTATATGCAAATTTTATCCAGTTCAAGTGATGTAGATATGCTTATGATGTCTTTTGATACTGCATCTTTCTTTTCTTTTTTCTTTTCTTTTTAGTTCTCTCTTACCATGTATTGAGAGTCTGAATGAATTATTATAGGGATTCAGTTCCAAATAAATGTCCAAAAATTGTAATGTCTGCCAGTCATATGGGCTACTTTGCACCAGATACCAGGATTAGTCTGAGAGCCCAGAAAGGTGAAGTCAACTCTACCCGCTAGTCTATTTCTCCTCATTTTTCATTGCCAATACATTGTAGTTCCTCCCAGTATCACTAGTGGTTCATTATGTGCCATCTTACAGCCAATTTTTCGTGGCATCTTAGTAACGGGAGTGGCATTCAGCAGGTACACACTGCCGTTGCTAAACTCCCCTTCCCTTTTTCTTCTTCCTCTTCCTTCTCTTCTTCTTCTTAAATCCAAGCTGGATAATTGTAACATACATATGTGCATATATATATATGTATATGTTTATGTTTATGTATGTATGTGTGTACATATATATATATATATATATATATATATATATATATATATATATATATATATTATATATGTGTGTATTTATGTATACTAGTGATTTTTTCCCATTTCTAAATAGAAACACACCTTTATTAGATAATGAACAGCTTTTGATTAGTTTTTTTTATAAAAGTGATCTGCTAAATATAAATATGCTGTGGCCCTTCTCTGTCTGGTCATCAGTGGTTTTCCTTTGAGCTTCAAGACCATTCGTGAAAACATTGTACGAGGAGGTGAAAGTAATAGATAGATAGTGGTAAAGTTCCTTTTTTGCTTTTCCAGTTAATATTTTTTCAAGATAGAGAGAGTCACATGTAACGGTTGCGCTGAACCATCTTCAATATTTTTGTATCGATTGTTGTTAACGATGGTGCCAGTGTCCGACTTTCTGCTGTAAAGATGTAGGGTAGAAATTTGTTGATAGTAGGTGTGAAAGTTATATAATCTAGCAAGAATGAGGTTTTGGGATCATAGTTAGTACTTTCAAATTATCAGGTGTATTTTGGAATTTATTATTTTTTTCTTTCTTTTTTTTTTGTTCCTTTTTTATGGTGCTTGTTTTTTGTCACAATTTTTTATTAATTTCTGCTTGTAACTGGTGCTATTTTCTTTTTGAAATTTCTGGAAACCAATAGCACACACAAAAACAAAAAACAAAATAGTTTTGGCTTGTAACAAGATGTTTATTGGACCAGCAAAAGTCCATAAGTTATGGTATCAGTCATAGTAAAGTCACAGGGAGAATAAAACTTTTTTTCTCATTTTCTTTTTAAAGAAAATTGTATTCGACCTGTTCAGCACTTTGCTAGTCAGAATTTTAGAACAGGTCACAGAGAACTTCCTTTTTGTGCCTTACCCGTGCTCAAATCTTGTAAGACCTGAGGCAGTGAGAGTCTTAGGTATCCATGCAGTATCCTAATGGTGTTCTTAGTTTTGATAAAGGTTATTGTATGTGAAGTAGTGAATGGAGTTCAAATGAGTGTTTAGAAGATACAGATACAGTCACACGTATATGTTGTAATTGACGCTGAAATGAAGTTATATTGTCATCTTCCCCCCCCCCCCCTTTTTTTTTCTCATTAAATTGTTATGTCCAAATCTAAGAGCTTATTTGTTTGTCTCTGAAGAAGAAATCAGGTCAGTTAATTCATGTTGGTTTACTTTTGTGATGATTGGGTAGAACCTTCCTTTATTCATTATTGTTGTATGTGTAATGTGTGTCAACTTTATATCTCTTCATAATTTTTTCATAATAATTGTCCTTTTGCTGTGAATTGAAATGACCACAAAAAAGTTGTAAGAGTTTCATGTTGTGTTATATACTTGTTGGTCTTTATTTATACTTAGTGTATTTTTTAGGTATTTAAAAAATAATAAAATAAAGATAACAAGTTCCAAAAGATAGTGAGTTGACAAGCATCCAGTGCTAGTTATGATGTGGTGTACTCATGTTCTTTAATCATGCAAATCAGTTGTATTAGGGAAAGTAAGAAGGACTTATTCCTCTTTTACTGAAGGGCATGTGTCATATCAGTAAAAGTCTGCACAAGTGATTTTTTTTCTTTTTTTCTTTTTCTTTTTTTTCTCTTAATGAAGCCTTATAGGTTGTCTTGAATATGTGAAAAAATGTAAACTGGTGGTTCCATTTTTGTTGAATAAATGGATATTATTATAGTGTTTTTTATTTATGCAATCATGTGTTGTTTATCCAGACAGCAGCAAAAAAAGTGTAAATATTTTCATCATTAAAGAACTGTGATATTTACTTTCTTCATGAAAAAGTTAAGCTAAGAATAATTCCAAGAAAAATATGACTACACACCTTGATTTCATATCATCTTACAGATTAGTCTTGTCTTGAATGTAATGAGGTTGGTCAAACAAACAAAAACATTACATACTTGTGCGCGCACACATTTCACAGGTGGGCAAAAACAACAAGAATCAACTGTGAGAACAATGTTGATTCAACAGAGAAAAGCAGATATAATGTAAAGTTATGATATTCCAAGGGTACTTTTTTTTTTTTACCAGATCCGGATGGTTGGTCAAGACAGCCCCACAGGATGGCCTGCTATTTCTTTCGGAGACATTTATGTATACCTCATCCAGCCACTTGTTGAAGTTTCGTATAAATGGATGAAAAAGGATGCAAATTTTATATAAGTTGAGAAAAAGAGACAATGTTCGCAACAGACCAATACTTAACTATTGCAGAATTATTTTTGTTTTTGCCCACCAGTGCCTCCGATTGATCATGTGACAGCTTGATTGACGTCACAATGACCGGTCCTATAGGTAATGATGAACTGGAAAACTAGAATCTCATATATTAGTACTCATTAAGCCAGTGGTTCTCACCTCCTCTTAGGCCATGGACCACCAGCCCTATGAAAAGAATATTATAGACCTTCCATTTTTGAGCATAGATAAAGTAAGCATACAAAAACAATTTAATTTGGAATGTTTCTTCAAAACAAAACAAAATAATAGGCAAGCATTTTGATCTGAAATATTTTCCCTACAAATTCCTTGAATTACATAAAAGCTTAATTATCATTTTGCTGTAAAACTGACTTTTGGAATTACCTTTCTTTAAAACTAAATTAATTCATTTTTCCCTCCAACTAGACTTTTGGATTCCCTCTTCATTGACAAGCTTTTCAATGTTAAGTGTGGTACTTGGCAATACACAATGCATATAACTTTCCACTGCGAGTCAATTTGTTTCAACTTAATATGCAGTAAGTATGAAAATCTATTCTCATACATGTCGGTTGATGTACATCCTGTGGACCACCCAAAACATCAACATGGACCCCCATTTGAGAACCACAGCATTAAACGATGAAAGGATAGATTCATAGTACAGTGCAATCCCTCCCTCCTCCCTCTCCGTCCTCCTCTCTCTTTTTCTATCTCTCCCTCTCTTCTCTTTTTCACTCTCTCTCCCCTCTCTCTTTTTCTCTCCCTCTCACCCTCTTTTTCTCTCCTCCCTCTTTCTTTTTCTGCTTGCCCCTCTTTTTTAATCTCTCCTCCTCTCTTTTTCTCTCTCTCCCCCTCTTTTTCTCTTTCTTCCTCCTCTTTTGTTCTCTCTCCACTATCTTTCTCTCTTCTCTTTTTCCTCCTATCTTTTTTTTCTCCCCTCTCTCTTCTTTCTCCCCTCTTTTTCTCTCTCTTCCCCCTCTCTTTTCTCTCTCCCTTCTCTTTTTCTTTCTCCCCCCTCTCTTTTTTCTCTCTCTCCCCCTCACTTTTTCTGCCCTTCTCCCCTTCTCTCTCTCTCTCTCTCTCTCTCTCTCTCTCTCAATCTCTCTCCCTTCTCCCTTCCTCTTTCCTTCTCTCCCCCTCTCTCTCCCTTTCCCCTGTCTCTCCCTCTCCCTGTCCCCCCTCCCCTCTCTCTGCTTCTCTCTCTCTCTCTCTCTCTCTCTCTCTCTCTCTCTCTCTCTCTCTCTCTCTCTCTCTCTCTCTCTCTCTCTCTCTCTCTCTCTCTCTCTCTCTCTCTCTCTCCCTCTCCCTCTCTCTCTCTTTCTTCCTTCCCTTCTCTCCCTCTCGATCTACTCCAGCCCTCTCAAAGAACGATAGGAATTTCTCCCTCAAAGGACTCTACACGCAGTCATAATGCCCTTCCAAGATCGGGACGGCCGTGATGTGCTGCAGACGCGAATAGTCGCCATCATTCCTGCAGTCGCCAGCAGCCGGCGTCTCAGGGGATTTGGCCAAGTCGCTCATTCTGAAGTATTCGCTGTTAATGCTCTCCCTGCTCGTTGCGTCAGAGCGAGGGAGACTCACTTGGGGACGAGCTAAGTTCGTGTTCTGGTGACTCGTGAAGGAGGGCTGGGAGGGGATGCTGTGGGTCCCCTCGCTTTTGGGGGAGCTGGTGCGGTGACATGAGGAACAGGGAACACAGGACTTGCAGTAACCCTTGAAGCAGAGATATGCGAAGAAGAGCAAGATCAAGAGGCAGTGCCAGTTTTGCCGCCAAAAACCTGTTCAAAGGATTTAGAATATCAGTTTATCTCCCGAGTTCATATGCTAATCCTGTAAATATCATATGTAAAATTTTCTAAACACGGATATTTCCAAAATTGGTGTTGCTTTAATACGATGAAAACGTGATAATAATAATTACCATCTTTTGGACGAATTTCGTCGTTCTTTGGAAATATCTCGTAAAGCGCTGAAGAAGAAAGCTGAATTAAATCTACATGAAATACATCTTCGATAGTATTTGCTCATGTATATATGATATATGGTTATGTATATTAAATATATTTACACACATACAAACACGTTCAATGTGACAAAGAAAGAACTAACTCAAGACTAAGGATGTGAAGCGAATCGCTAACTAGTCGTAACTTCATTTTTTAGCGGAATTTTGCTAGACAAGAAAAGAGGAAGAAAGAATGGGGAAGGCTAGATCAGTAGCAACTCGAGGAGGTGCCAAGGCTTCTCATTCTATTTTTGGAAAAAGCACATGGGGTTTATTTTGATGACGTAACAAAATGGCCTAGCCTCGCTCGCGTCAGCCTCCTGCTGGGCTAGGGTATACAATAGGGTATAATTTGAATGAATCAAATAGTTGGAAGATGAATTGAAACTTTAACACTGTTGGATATATATATATATATATATATATATATATATATATATATATATATATATATATATATATATATATATATATATATATATATATATATATATTATATATATATATATATATATATATATATATATATATATATGTGCGTGTGTGTGTGTGTGTGTGTGTGTGTGTGTGTGTGTGTGTGTGTGTGTGTGTGTGTGTGTGTGTGTGTGTGTGTGTGTGTGTGTGTGTGTGTGTGTGTGGTGTGTGTGTGTGTGTGTGTGTGTGTGTGTGTGTGTGTGTGTGTGTGTGTGTGTTTATACACACACACACACCACCACGTATTCCCGGCAGGCTAGAGCGTTACACAAATATCGTCGATGTCGGAGCGGCGGACGTAATTTTACAATTACCTCGTAACATTCCCACTGAATCAGCATACTAACCTTGGCATAGTTAGCATTGTGTACAGAGACGACTGTAGTATAATCAGGATGAACAAGATATACCATGAACAGAAGAGCGGCGGTGGCCCGCCCTCGTCGGCTCGGCGGGTTTTGCGTCTCTCCCGATGCATCTAGTCCGTGGCGCTCTATCCTGCCGTGAAGACGTGGGGGATATTTTGTTTCCTCGGCGGGGTTGGGGGCAAGGTCTATATAAGTACTTATATAGACCCGGGGAAGTCGCAGGGAGAGCAGCCCCCTTCAATGGAAAGTCATGTGAATAACCATGGTAAATTTCACTGTGGGTTATTTATTAGGGTATTTTCTATATTACGTCCGCCGCTCCGACATCGTCGCCCCTGCTATCGGGGCCAAGTTTGCCGCTAACGGGGGGTTTCCGCGCAATAAAACCTACATATTTGGATTGCACAAAGTGAGAGGAATGCAACGATACCAAAATCGTCGATATCGGAGCGGCGGAGGAAATATAGAATATATATATAATATATATATATATATATATATATATATATATATATATATATTATATATTTACACACACACACACACACACACACACACACACACACACACACACACACACACACCACACACACACATATATACATATATATATATATATAATATAAATATATATGTGTATAAACGTAAACATGAACATGTGCTGTTCTAAAAATAGCCATCGTAAACACACACTACAGTTGATGCGCGCATG